AAATACATTTAATAAAGTATTAAACACAGAGCAAGCTTTATTAATTGGTGTCTTGTTTTATCTGCATGGAGATCAGCTTTAAGAACTTCCTCCTGCCAAGGTACCTGTCTACAGACTGCAAAGTTGTAATACAAGCAGTGGTCACATGAAGGGCTTCAGGAAAAGGTTGTCTGCCCATTTGGTACTACACACTAGTTGATCTATCAATGTAATTACGCATTTGATGAGAGTTTAGGGTGTGCTGATGGCTGCACTGTACTGACTCACAAGGACTTTTACACACTGAACTTTCTCTAAAGCATTGCAAGGGCTGTTAACAAGGGAAACTGCAAGTGACTTCAAATATGACACCTTAGAAATCTCAGGAAGCACATTTAACAACATAATTGGACTTTTAAATATACAGTATACATAACTGTACTGGGGTGACTACAGATACTCTTTAATCATTACTTGGATTGTTATAGCTGGCTCAGTACTGGTTTGTAAAAAAAAAAAACTAACTGAGCTGTGAATGGATGTCATATACATGTTAAAGCACAACAAATGCACTACACCTATACTTCAAGGGCAAGACTTAAAAAGAACGTCTTTCCGTGAAGACTGATCCCTTGTAATTCAGATTGAGAGTTGACTTGGCTGTACGTGAAATGCACAGCACAACAACCAGACTCGTTTACTTAGAATGCATAAGACACACTAATGCTTTCAAATATTATGAGGTTACAATAGAATTGTATTGTCCTGTAAACCCATCCCAATGCAACATGTGCCAAGAATCAGGATCAATCATTGTTTGCAAAAAAGCACATCGAGTCTACCAAGGCATAAACCAGGACTCTGTCACTCCATCAGGATGAGGCATTAGGTACGCCTGTATATTTTCCTTGTTAAGTCATTCTGAAAATCATTATTTCATATAGTAGTTTACATTTTATAACAAACACTCATCTGATGGCCTGTCCAATACCCTTGTCAAGATTGTGTGGGAAGGTCACACCTCAGGTACTGTAGCTTCATTATTCCATCCAGTGACACAAGCTAATGAGAGGGCAATACGACTAGTACAAAAAGACTAAGGCCTCTTTCACACGGATTGATCAGGACAGGATCCGTGCACAGATCCCCCCTCCTAATTGGAGCAGTATGGATCGGATGTCACCGCTGCGACATGTGTGTCCATCCAGTTTTTTTCCACCATCTTTTGAGGTCTATAGGGAATCAGATGTAAACAGACAGGTCAGATTACTACCCACCCGGTACAATTAGGTCCGTCAAAACAGAACACTGTTCCGTTTCTTTGTTGTAGCCAGTCGGGGGTAACCGGGTGTAAATGGACACCTGTCCTTTTAGACCCAGCTGCTCATAGACATGCATTGGGTATCCGACCGGGTCTGCCTGAAAAACTGTCAGGTGGACCCCATTGGACCTCCGTGTGAAGGAGGGGCCTAAGACATTACACGAAGTTTATACACTACAGGTTTACATCCATAGTGATCAATCTAAAGCCTACTCTCTGATCTTTATTGTATTGGTTTTTCACACAAAATGGGACATACAGTATAAGTTAATTATGATTTACGTTTATTAATAGCAATAAAATTGCTGCTTCTTTAAAAAAAAAAAAAACACAGGTGAAGCTAAACTTCCTCATGCCAACCTTGCAACAGCACGAGCAGTGCCATAAAATAATGGAGTTATTTAGTTATCAGATATTTTTGTGCCACTTTTGTGACACCAGATATTTTTGTGCCACTTTTGTGACACAAGTCCCACATGCTGCTCGCCTAACAAGGAAAAAAGTCCTGGTTTATGCCCTTCAACATGCACTTTCTACAAAGGATTCCAAGCAGTACAGTGCCATGCTGTAGGTGGCAGATAATTCCATGCAGGTTTCTTACCACTAAAAGGGCACTATCATCTGTGTGCTGGGAGCGTCTGGATGGTAGGGAACACTGAGATGAAGGTAGGGAAAGATGGAGCAATGTCAATAACACACACACAATGGAATAAACATAAAAAGGGTAAAATGCAACACTGGGTTACATGATGGCAGCACACATGGAAGGTGACAATCTACTTATGTAAGATGAGTAGGATACAGGATGGCAATAAAAGTGACATTTCCTAAGAAAACTGAAAAGAAACAGAATCTACATCAGAAAAGATAATGCTAGTATTGGTTCAACAATGACATCTGGAAACAGCACTGGGGTGTTAAGATCACATATAATTCTTTTACTTGTACACTATTTGCATAACTACATAAGCTTTTGCCTTGAGACCCAAATAGAACATGACATTAATGGTGTGCCGTCAGCAAAGGACGCTATGGCCACTACTACAGCATTGTGTTAGCAATTTAAGTGGTTTCTTCCAAGCCACATAATGCTACTGCTCTCTAGAAGGACTGGGCAAACCACACAGAATGGAAAAGTGTAAACAGTTCATGTGGAAGTGGCAAGTGACAATTCAAAACTCCAACTTAAGCATTAATACATTTACACATATTAGCTGCCATATCTTAAATTAATATAATAATTTTAAAAAAGCTTTAAAACCTTACGTAAACTGTATTCAACACATCTACCACATGATGGTATGTTTGATAAATAGAACTCCATATCCATGCCTGACAATTCAAACCCTGAGAGCAGGGGAAAAAACTGCAGAGAACCACCCCACATATAAATGGAGGAATCCAAAAAGACGTATAAGTAGTAAAAGGTATTAAAGAGAAACATTCCAATTGTTCATGATTGAGCTTATGCCAGAAACTGAATATTTGATCAATTTATAATAATGCAGATTTTTAATTTTCATTATTTTTGGTAAAACTAAGGATGCACGGAAATTTCGGCCGCCAAAACATATCGGTTGAAAATGGCACTTTTGACAAAATGTCGAAAGTGCCATCTTTCGGCCGAAATTGCGGTGCATCCCTAGTTTTTCTTTTACCTGCTGGGAACTGCTCTGTGTCCCCTCCAACACAGCGCAGCGTCCAGGTGAGAGAAAACGGTCACAGGAGGCCAAGCAGCACGGGGGAGGAGAGCGCTGTGAGCGGCCGGCGTCTCTCTCCTCCCGAACCGCTTTCCTGTGACATATTAGGAGATCGGTTTGGGGGCGGAGACAGCTGTTGGTGCTATCCCAGGAGGCTGAGCTCTCCTCCCGAACCGCCTCGTCAGCCTCCTCTAACAGACCAGGAGAGCGGTGGTTTGGGGGCGGAGACTGCTGTCAAAGGAGGCCGGGCCAGCAGTGTGGAGGAGGAGTAAGCTTTCAGTCAAAATCGAGCTCTCCTCCCCACACCACTCACTCAGCCTCCTGTGACAGCGAGTCAGGATGGAGAGCAGGTACAAGCACTCAGTGATCACTGTTCATTCATGATTGTGGACACAATAAAACATACTATCTCCACAAGTTATGAATGAACAGGAACACTCAGTATAGCAGCTTCTTGTTTATTTATAACTGGGGCTGCAGAATAAGAGATTGAGGACTGTGTTATCAATCTCTTTTTCTATTTCAAAAGGGAAATGTCAGGGGTCTGTTTAGACCCCAAGTATTTCCCTGAAGCTCCCAAAAGTAAAGTAACAAAAAGTAAATTTAATAAAAATATAACATTTTTAAAAATTTGAAAAAGGTTGGGAAAACAAAATTTTGGTTTCGGTCTGACTTTTTATTTTCGGTGTTGAAACTTTCATTTCGGTGAACCTCTAGTTAAAACATCTGTTTGGATTTATCATTTTAATGTTAAGTGGCTTGTTTGGCATATATGGTTTGAAGTTAAACTCCAAGAAAAAGGTTTGCTTTTATTTTATAACAGATGCAGTTTTTGTAAACCTATACTGTGCCTACAAATCGGCATCTTATTAAAGAACGATACATTTGTATATTTATTTGCAGATAATTTTTTGTACAAGTCATTCAGAATTGAGAAAGCTGGTTTGATGACCAGTGAAACGTCTTCAAGAAAAATACAGCAAGTCCAGTAGCCTTGACTTATTTTTTACAGATAAATACATTACCTAGAACAAGTGTTTTCCCCTTGGACATTTTTGTCTTTCATGACAAAAAAACAAAACAAAACATGAAATGCTTTTATATATGTCATGTATTATGCAACAAGTAAAAAAAAAAAAAAATCTCTTATCCGGGAATTATAAATAAGAGCACTACCACTGCTGACCTGCTGTTGAAGGTGCAGATAGTGGGCTGTCATCCTCATCCTTGCTTCACTACCTAGTGACTCAATGACCCACAACACTTATGAGCATATCAGAAACCTTGACAGCCTATTAGTTTGATCAAAGGATTATGGCAGAATGGTACAGCAAATATTAGGAACACCAGTGTGATGATGCAATGTTGTATTTTTTTTCAGGGATTTGTGAAACTGAATCTAATATAATACAAACTACCAAAAGATGTACCAACTTGATTAGAGAAGAATATACATGGAGAATTGTTTGTGATGTAACATACCTCATTATCCAATGGACTCTGCTTCTCTGGACTCAGTGCTCTATGCTAATAGAAAGAAAAAAAGAAAGAAAAGTACTTAGAGAAGGCTGCATGGTAGAAATGAATACAAATACACTATGGTGTAATGACTGAGAATGAACATGCTAAGACAATATCTAATACATACTTTTTTTCTGAACTGACTAACAACAAAACAATAACACTTGATTGCAAAAAAAACACACACATGACTGGGAAGTCCTCATTAAACTACATGGCCATGTTTGATCAAGTTCCAACAAGATAATTATTTGATTTCAGAATAGCACATAATTAGTCAAATTGTAAGGAAATGTGGTGCATGTGACCTGTTACTGATTAAAATCAAACTGGTAGTAACAGGAGTGCTTACTGCAGGGATGAAAATTATCCCATTCACCTGCTGCAGATCCTTCAAAAAAAAAAAAAAAATCACTGTGTAAATTACACAGGGTTTAACACCCTCCCTTCCATCCCCATGTGGAAGTCTGCGATGATCAGTTATACATGCCAACGTTTTTGCATTAATCTTTTTACCTGGAGTCGCTCTGTAAGAATTTTGATGCAATAGTTCACAAAAAAAGAGCTGGCTGGAAGGACAGTTTGGCAGTTTAATAAAGGAGCAAGATGCAAGCCTCGTCAATCATATCCACTAGAACTTTACAGCGCAATGCAGAATACCGCCAGCTATAATGTACTATTGCTGGGATTTGTTGTGCTCCTCTATAGCTGGTGATATTCTGCATTGATTGCTGTATAATTTTAAACTTTCCATTTCACTATATTGCACACCACACTTTTTTTTTACTTCCACCGCTCCAAAGCTGGCTCCTGTGATGGACTACAATCTCAATACAAACTAGTAGTCCATCACTGGAGCCATTTTTTAAAATGTATTTTATTGTTTATCCGATTAACCGATTAATCGAACTCAATAATCGGCTAACTAATCGATTTTGAAAATAATCGTTAGCTGCAGCTCTACTAACAAACCTAGGTACACTAAACTGCATAAAGTACAACTGTCCTTCATGGAAATGTTCTAAAATGCCAACAGGACTAAACCGCAGGAACTTGTAGTGCCTACACATGCCTTTAACTTTGCCAGGTCCTCTCGCAATTTTCACCTCAGGTGTCCAGACCCCACCTCCCAATTTTACGTCAGGTGGGCTGCACCAATTTAGCTATTTTCACAGATTTTCATGTATAGCTTTGAAAGTTATTAAAAGATCCATCCAAACCATTAGAAAGCAAAGTAAGTGCAGAATTAAAAGATAATGTTAATAACAGTGTACGCCCCATGATAGTTTGTGTTTGCAAACAATTCATAGTACTGAGATGTAAAGTGTAGTGGTGAATCACCACTGTCCTCACTTTACCTATTGACAATAATATAAATGGCTTGGTTTACCTTTAAAATTGATCATATTTTATGAATAAGTCTAAAAGTAAATAGAGCCATTAATACTAGCAATCCCTGAAGGAGGAGATGGGGAGGAGAGGTCGCCAGATCAGAGAGCAGGTGGGGAAGAGGTGGCTGGGATCAGAGCAGTGTCATGGAAAGATGGCTCGGACAGAAAATAGCAGCAGATTAGGGTAAGCAAAGGCCCAGTTAGGACAACTGGTGCCTGACCATATGGAAGCACAGAGGAGGTTGCAGATTGTTATGGATGTGATCTTCAGCCACTTGGCTGCTGGATCACATTCACAGAGCAGCGATCCAACAAAAGGATTGATGTAGTCTGTTCTATTCCGACGTAATCCTTACATCCATGGCAATAAAAGGGTTAAATATAATCTCCAGTACCTCAAAAAAAACAAATTCCAAGCTGCTCAAATACAAATACAACCAATACTGAAAAATCCAAGTAGAGGAGTAGCCAATCCTCTCCCACAGCCCAAACCTTCCTATTAATTAGCAAGCTTACCCATCATAGTAATAGGTCAATGGGAAGTTGTGGGAGGTAGAGGGGTGTGGGTGGATGCTCAGGAGATATGTTCAAAGCTGTGGGCTACAGGACTCTCATCATAAACAAGAAAACCCCATGTCAGTTACCCTTCACCACATAGCCTTAAACCCCCTTTCCATGATCACCCTTATGTCCTTGGGGTGGTCAAGTTTTTGCATTGTAATTTAAAATGTACGTGTGCGCATGCATGCAAGATTACTCACTGTGCCCAAAGAAATATTACATTAAAAAGAAGCTATGCGCAGGCCCTGTTGGGTGCTTCCAGTTTAGTATGTTTCTATTACTAATAGTTGTACTTTAACAAGAAAAAAAACTTTAACATAAGTTACCTATGATGGTACTAGCTAGGGATGCATCAATACTGTTTTTTCCGCTATCGAGTGCCGATATTTTTTTGACCAATCTGACTGGAAGGGAAGCCGGCTCCATGCTCTGTCGGCACTGCAGGTCAGAAGGAGTTCTCCCTCTGACTGGAAGTTCCATATCGGAGGTATGCATCGCAGCATTTGGACAGGTACAGGTACTCACCCAAATACTCTGTATCGGTGCATCCCTAGTACTAGCTGTTCTTAAAAGTATTCATATGGGGAGATTTCCCTTTTTCCCATCCCAGGGATGACCAGGGTATTGCTGTGAGCTTAAAGTGAAACTTTAGTGTCATTCCCCAGCATATTTTAATCAGTTTACACTGCTATATTAACCCAACCACTGGAGCGATCTCTGCAGACTAATGAATTCATGAATTTAGTGTCAATCGTCCCACAACCTTTGAGCCCAGGGTGTCAAGGTTCTGCTAACCACTCTGAGAAAAACACGCTGGAAAGAGTACATGAACCTTTTTTTTGGCATATTACAGCTCGTTTTGGCCCCATAGACCTAACAGAAAACGCTTTAAAACGCGCATTTGCTGTGTTTTTGTGCGGGTTTGCTTATTCACATTAATGAGCCACAATCAGCTCACAAAAGCATGCGATCCGATTTATGTGCATAAAAACGCGTGTAGAAACATGCAAAAATGGTGTCGCCTAGGTGTGTACCCAGCCTAAAACGGCCCTTCTAGTAGGAATAACCATTAAAATGTAAAACAAATACAAAGTCAATATACAATATGTGAAGAAAAAAAAAAAAAAAGTCCTCCACTATAAAATAAATGCTGTTGCATGACATGTACACGTCAGCGACTTACGTTTAAAGACTCTGAGGGTGTTATCCTGTCCCTTAATCTCTCTTCCTCATACTGCTGGGCTGCCAGTTGTGCCTGCCTCCTGGCGGATTCTAGCACATCTGGCCTAGGCTGTAAGTCTGTATCAGTCTACAGGACCCAAAAAAAAAGCAGAGGAGGTAGAGGTTAGATGCAGAAAAGCATGCATTAGTAAAAGGGAATGCAGTGCCGTCCGTCCGTTTTTTTACTACGGGCGGACGGCAAGAGGTTAACCAAATAAGTCAGATAGTCATGCAGAATACACAGTCCCCAAATAATGTCTTTTTACATGTAACTAGTAGCTTTACCTGGTTAGGACTTTTGGTTAGTGCAATAAGATACATAGCATCCAAATGAGACCTAAAATGGAAAAATATCTATTAATATGCATTTATGGACATGCAAATATTAAATGGAATCAACATGTCAACCATAAACATAGCAGTTACAAGATATGGGAAGACGGAAACAGGGGTAGGCATTCTAGCAGTTGTGGATCTACAAATCCCATTAGGCACAGCAAGACCCTGACAGCCACAGGCATGATTCACAGAGGAAGGCACATGATAGGATTTGTAGTTTCAGCACAGCTGAAGTGCCAAAAGTTGCGTACCCCTGGACTAAAGACTGCTATTGTAAATCAGAGGTAAATCAGAAAGAACTAAAACACTTTCTCTTACTATATTTGGCTTATAACTGGGAGAGCAGTGTAGTTTATAGCTTACCCACAACCCTTACAAAACGTAGTTAAAAGGTGATGGCAACACAGAACTGAATGACTTAGTAGTGTGCCTGTCGCAATGAAATGGTGTGCTACATATCATGGCAATAAAAGGGTTAAAGCAACCAACAAAGTGTGTCAGTATAGTAAAGCAGGAGTTGATGGAGGAACATTGGTTCCCTGATCTGCTCTGAACAGAATGAACCCGAATACGCTCAGCTCTGAGCAATGCCAGGGTCAAAGCTGGTCAGCCCCCTTGTGATAGCAATTAAGTAAAGTAGAAATATAAAGTGTTTACAAAATTAAAATATATTAAAATTACATTTTAAGAGACCCCTCTCCCAACACTAATGCACGCAGATATTGCTCAACATACTGTATATTAGGCATCACTGTGCATCCTGATAACTTTGGGTGGATGATATTTAGTGGCTTGACATACTTTATATTAGACTGTTATCTTTTATATTTAACAGAATATTTGCAGATTATATTGCGTCTGTGAGCACTAGAATTAATTGGAGCGCATGTTTTACTGAAAAATACAGGTTATAAACATGTGCATGACACATGTCGGGTGCACAAATTGCACCTTCTGTGCATTACCAAACATAATATTTGGGGTGTTATAAAAAAAAATTCCAAGCCACAAATGCTGATATTACCTTATGTGAACAATAAAAAGAAAAAAACTTGTCAAGTTAAACTGAAAGTCAAAAGGCCATGGCTGCTGTTACCTCTCATTTTGTCTACGAGGGGATGGTTGCCTTTGTTTATTTGTTAAGCTCAGAGATTCTGGTCTTCTTAGTTCTTCTGAGATTCTGCATGGGGAAAAAAAGAAGATAAAACACTATGGCTGTATTTAAAAGGAACAACAGTGTATATTGTAGAATAAAAGCCAACAACATACTAGCAACAGCAACTGGGGGAAGTAATACAGAGGGAATAATATATGGTGTGAACTCTTTTATATGTGAACATGCTAAGATAACTAACCTGCTTTGGTATAAATGTCTCCTTATATCCTCTGCTCTTTGAGATTCCCTTGTTGGGTTTTGTTTCAAAGGTGAGCCCTACAAAATATCCACAGTATATTTTAAGATGCAGCATAGTATGTTAGCGTGTAACTTCTCAGGATAATGCATTTTTCCCCTCGCAAACGAAAAACACAAGAAGTGACTGATATGTATGATCAAACATTCTATATAAAATGCTTGGTTGCATGGTGCACAATAAAAAAATATGAATATTGCTACACAATAACAAAGGTTTCCAAAACTTAACCAAAGAGTCTTTCCTACCTCCTGTGTTGTCCGTCGCTCTTCTATGTATGCCATAAACTGTGAACTTAGACTGTCGCCTTTGGACTGCCTTACATCCTCTTCTTCCTCTTCTGTTGCATAGCTATCAATGTAGTCAATCTGATCCAGATCATGTTCCACTGCAAAGAAACAGGTCAATATAAATGCACAGGACCAGGAAACTGTAAAGAATAAAGATGATCCGGCCACATCCCAAGAACCTACCTCCACCATTGGCAATGACAGAGTTGCCCCGTGATTCCAGGACATGATCTCGCCGTAACCGCTGCTCTTTACTTGCATCAGTTGTCCTTATAGGAAGGTCTGTAAATTCATCTGTAGGCTAGATTGAAGAAGTTATAACTAAAGTCAAGATATAAATACAGCTTGTGAGGGATTGTAATGGTTAAACTGCTAAAACTCACACACACAACATTACAGTTATAAATTGTATTGAAGACCATATATGAAGATGCCCAGCATCCCCAAGCTTTAACAATAAGGAAACTACCATATAAATACTGGAAGGATAAACATGATTGCATGGCAAAAGACCATTACAACAAGATCATTCATTGGCTGTTAGATTTTGCATCATTTTCTTTGTGTGCAGTTGATCTGATGCATCAAAGTGATGTTGCCAAGAACTGGAAATACCTATCTAAAACCAGCTATTAAAATACAAACATTTGTCTTGAAATGGTTGAAAACTACCAAAAAATAGAATTTTTGTACTCGTCTAAAATCCTTTTCTCCGAGTCTTTTGAGAGACACAGGAATACAGATACTGTTTATATAGTAAAGCCTGACAGTATCAAAATTTCTGTGGATTACCATGGATGAGAAAGAATACTAGTGTTCCTAGTGATAATGCACTTTCATGCATCAGGCTTACAGTGAATGTATAGCATATTTCACAGCAGGGAATCTGCAATGGTCAGCAAGTCTATTCATGTCTGAGATGGTTACATGTTGTATTCATGTCTGAGATGGTTACATGTTGCAGTTAACATTTACACACCTGAGAACTAGAATGCAAAAAGACGATGTGCCAAAATGTGCTCTGCAGTAGCAGACACATTAATATTTACAGGAAAATGTTCAGGATGTTCAGGATATAATAAACAGTTTACAGCAAATGCAGACATAGTTAATTGTGCTAAAGGGATGTCTATGAAATCCTTTACATAGGCTTAGTAAAGAAAATAGGACTAAAGTAGTATTAAATTGTCAATTAAAAAAACTTCCTCTGTACTAAAATATATTTACCAAGTTAAATAAAAGCATTCTGCCTATAAAAGGTTTATTGTAACTTTACTCAATTGCCTCCACACTGTCTTTCTGGTACAGCCCTTCCCCAACTTCCAGGCTTTGAGCATGCACACAATCTTTCCCTGAAGCCCTGACTGTGGGACTATATGTCCCATGAGTACTTGGACGCAGCTTGTTATGCACATGTGCGCTGCATTATCATAGACTCTCCACTGGTCTCTCACCACTCAAAGTTGAGGACCAACAGAAAAGTAAAACATTTTCTTTCCACTATAATTATTAAATTGTTACAGAAAATTTTTTGTTTATAAGAATAAACTTCATTGACCATAAGGTAAGAGGACAGGGAGGCAGGTGGTTCACAATTACCCATTAACTTCAGCCTCTCGGTGCCACTTGTGCATGTCAGCACAGAGAAAGTCTGCACCTATATGTGTAGTACCGAGAAAAAGCATGCACACAGCAGTGTCCCCAAAAAGGCCCAGCTAGTGATGGGAGCCATCGCTAAAACGGAAGTCATGTTGTGCAAAAAACAAAAAATCAAAAATGTTCCGGTGCTGAAGGGAACAAACAACAAGTTTGGCTATTTTATACCATTTTTGATGAATTGGGTTTTTAACAACACGTTAATGAATAGTTCATAAACTGGAATTAAGAACTACATATAGCTTGTGTGGTATAGGTGGCTGCTTCTCTACCAGCACAACCTCTATTCCATCGATACACACCTACACATCACACACACACACACACACACCTTACCTCATTCCCAGACCACCGTTTGTCTCCACTGTCTACGCTGTTAAAGCCAGAGTCCAAGGCACCATAGGTGCGACCAGGATATACATCATCATGACTAAACAAAGAGAAGAACACATGTCATATGTCCAAAATAGTAACAACCAATTGAACATCTGGAGCACTGGAAAACTGTTCATTATGAGATCATCTTAAGTTAGAGGGCAAGTTTAAAAACACCCAAAATTAGCTAAAAGGCCATTCTAATACAGTAATATCTTGGTTTACAAGTAACTTGGTTTGAGAGTGTTTTGCAAGACAAGCAAACATTTCAGAAAAATGTTGCCTTGATATACAAGCAATGTCTTGCAATAAGAGCAAATCTTTGTAGAAAAGCACCACCCGAATAAGGCTGTAGCAGTGCGAGCGATGAGTCTGTTTACCGACAATGCAATGTCACATTGGATAGATTCCTTGTTAAGGTTTCACGAAATGAAAAATATTCCATTGAGTCAAGAGATAGCAGTGATTCCGTTAGTGATAGTGAAAGTCGTCCTACACAATAATCCTCCTCTCTCTTGTCCCTCTCACACCGGCCACAAAGGTACCGGTAATTGGTTTATTTTTCTTTAGATTTTGTACAGTATTATATTACAGTACAGTATTGTAATCATTTTTATATGAATATTTTTGGGTTGTGGAACGAATCATCTGAATTTCCATTATTTCCTATGGGGAAATTCGCTTTGATATACAAGCGCTTTGGATTACAAGCATGCTTCCGGAACGAATTATGCTCGTAAACCAAGGTATTACTGTACTTACCTAGCAGTGAAAACAGTCTCCCTTAATCCTTTCCCCTTCCACCGCCATAAGGCATACAGCGGAACACAACCGTTTCCAGCTAGCCACGTCAGTATGCCTTACGCAGTGGCTTTCACCCTTCTGCTATAAGCTCATGTTTGCTTTACGACCATGAACTTATATCAGAAGGGTTCTCCTGACGGTCCCCTGTAAATTAATAGCAGTCCTCAGCAGCTAATAAGCCGTGACTGACAGCTATTCGTTAAAAATTCGGATATCCGACAGCCTCTCCTGCCCTCTCATCCCCACTTGGAGCCGCTCCATGCTCAGATCTGTGTCCTTGCCCCCGCTGATCTCAATGGAGGTATTTGGCCTGTTTGGCACCATGCAAGTGATTGGGCGGATACAGAGCCGCCCGAATGCTTGTATGGATCAGCCGTTGTATAAAACTATTGCGGGATTCGGCATGCACGAGCAGAAAAATAAAAAAAAAATACTGATAGGAGGTTGCCGTCCATCCCTTTATTTACAACGGGTGAACGGTAAGCAGTTAATGTACACAGACGGATAAATGCAGATGCCTTCTTTATTCTTGTCCAGACACAGATTTATATCAGGCAGAATGTAATGTAAGAAATGCAAGCCCTCTAAAGAGAAGAGCCGCAAAGTACAGCTATAATTTAAAAGTACATTTCCATTTACACATTTTCATACAATGTGACAGCAATTCTTTTACTAACCATGAACCGAACCCTGGTCTTCTGTCATACTCTGGTAGGTCTGGCACATTCTTGCAAGCTTCTATGTTCAGGTATTTAAATATATGAATTTTACCTTTGATGCAAATCTATTTAGAAAAACAGCAAGTTAGTAAATAAAAAAAAACCAAAAAATCACATTTTCATACAATGTGACAGCAATTCTTTTACTAACCATGAACCGAACCCTGGTCTTCTGTCATACTCTGGTAGGTCTGGCACATTCTTGCAAGCTTCTATGTTCAGGTATTTAAATATATGAATTTTACCTTTGATGCAAATCTATTTAGAAAAACAGCAAGTTAGTAAATTAAAAAAAAACAAAAAAAAACAAACACACACACACACACACACACACAATTTCCTCTGACCGACAGTGCCATAGAGGAACATGGAGCCAGCTTCACATGCGATCAGGAAGCTGGGCGGCGAGTAATGACCCACCTCCTGGCTTCCTTATTGGCCAGGGAACCGGCTTCACAGTAAATCAGCATCGAGATGGTCGAACAGCCAGCCGGCTGAAACAGATTGCCTGGAAAGCTGGCTCCAAGATAGCGGAAGCACCGGTATCGGTATCAACAAGTACAGAAAGCAAAGTACCGGTATTCTTACTCGATACCGAAAAACCGGTATCGATGCATCCCTAACACACACACAGGAAATAAATCAAAACTGGAGCAGACAAAATCTGAAGCAGCTGTGCATAGCAACCAATCAGCTTCCCTCTTTCATTTTCAAATCTCAGCTGAACAAATTGAACAGAGATAGGTTGCCATGCACAGCAGCTCCAGATTTCGTCTGCTCCAGTTTTGATAAATTCCCCCCATAGTCATGTGAAAGAGAAAGTACATCCGTTCTAAATGCTATGGTTTCAAGTATCAGGATATAATAAAAATCACCTGGTCCTTAGCAGATCTTGGACAACAATATTACACCGTGCCATTTTTTCACAAACAAAGCCAAAACTGAGAAGCCATGTGAGCAAACCAAGTACACCATTACTGCTTCCACAGGAATTAGGAGGCTAAGAAGCAGCCAGGTGCTGCTAATCAAATGCCCTTGAATAACTGATAGTCAGCAAGTGTGACCACCTCTATAAAAGCCGAAGTTTTAACTCCAACTTCTTTGTAGCCATTTTCTGTCTGCATGTCATTGCATAGGGCGGGCATCCCTATAGTGACAACAGTGGAACATGCCTGGTGCAATAAGCGTCAGCATGGCCTCTTCTGACTGCACCAGAAGAAGCAGAAGAGGAACCGGAAGGCTGGGACAGATTGTCACTCTAACAGGAAATGCCTGAACAAGGCACGATTACTAGGTATTATTGAGGGGAAATGGGTACATTTCAAAACATTAGAAATTACTTAAATGTAACATGTTGCAGATTAAATAAGGTTTTAATGATTGTGTATTAACTTTAAAAATAAGCTCCGTTAACAAGCTAAAAAAATGTTGAAAACTGGAAGGAAATTTGAAGCGGTTCCCATAGCAACCAATATTTCTTGCTTAAGGGCCGGTTCACACCACAAACAGTGCGTTCCAGAGTGGTCAGCCTCTGGAACATACAGTATCGCAACTCGGCCCGCTCTCTGTGTTGAGGGGTGGGAAGGTGGTGTGGCGGTGCATTTGGAGTCAATGGCACTGCAGCCATGCACCCTGTCCAGTGCAATCTGTAAAAATGCTGCAAGCACTGTTGAAATGTGGCAAGGCCAACAGCTATACTCTTCTTTACTCAGATTTCTATAAACAAGCCTCAAGCTTTTGGTATTTTCCCTACATTTAAATATTTATCAGCAAATCTCATAATATTTACCGGTCATCACAACATTATGATTACTTTTGGGGTTCCTATTTTGTGCACACAAACAGGCAATGTGATGCTTTGCTTTTAAATATTAACTTAGCGGTGTACAGATTTAGACGTAGCCCTACTCATGAAAGCTTTATTATGTATCCAGGCAATACCTATCCGGATGTCAAGCACACACCTGAGCTGGAGGGGATTGCAGAGGATTGTTATCCAAGATAATGGTCTGGAGGTGACGCAGATTTCGGTAACACACTGGAATACTTGTGACTTTGTTGCAAGAAAAATCCAACCGAACTAGAGGCAAATCTGCAATTTCTGGCACGGAATAAAAAAAAAAAAAAAAAGAAGTCCTTGTTGAGAGCATTATGTGCTGGCATTATTACCAAAGATCTTTATGATTTCTTACAAAGTATTATATCCCAAATATACATTAAGTTGCTTTGGCAATTCGCTTAAATTTAATATCACAGTTGATTCAGCGATAATACTATTTTTGGATATGTTGGTGTACAAAAAACAAAAATGGTGCATTACACACTGATTTATACAGTAAGCTTACAGATAAACTTTTTGATATTTTCCACCCTCCACATACCTTTAGATCAGTTATAAGAAGCCAGTTTGTGGGGGTCCAATGTACATTATTTTGAGTGAGGTGGGATGCAGGGAAGAAGTGCACCTGGTTTGCTGCCTTTACGGTAGCATGCTTTTTTGAATAAAAAAAAAAAAAAAAAAAGAAATGAAGTGAACATTTACTAAAAATAAATATTGCACCAACATGTCAGAACTTTGTGTGTGAGGAGGATATACATATCATTCAGGCTGCTTTCTTTAACAAACATTTTATCACTTTTAAGGGTAAAAAAAAAGTACAAAACAATACATATTGGAAAGGTACAACAGTGAGTGTGAGTCAAGATGCAAAATAAACGACTTAGTCAAGTCATTCCACCTCCTTTGCCGGATCTGCTGGTCCATTTTTCTCAGTCATGCTATTTTATTTTGATTATCTACAGGAACTTCCGCGCTCGATTTGAGACAGCCAGCGCTGTCACAGGAGGCTGCTGCACCGCTCGCTCAGCCTCCTGTGACAGCATGTCAGAGAGGAGAGCAAACATTCAGTGATCAGTGATCGCTGAGTGTTTGTAGATAATTGAGGACATAGTATGGTTACTGTATCCTCAATTATGAATGAATGGGAAGTGATCTACATCACCTCCTGTTCATTCATAAAATTGTAGTTATAGTAAATATACTCTGTTCCCATGTTATGAATGAACAGGAACACTCAGAGGGTTCATGTTCATTGATAACAGGGGCTGCAGAAAAAGAGATGGAGGACTGTGTCCTCCATCTCTTTTTCTATTTTAAAAAGGGAAATATCAGGGGTCTGTTTAGACCCCTAATATTTCCCCCGAAGCCCCTAAAAATAAAGTAGAATAGTATTTAA